CACGCAAAGTCCCTCTGCTCAAGCCAGCACATGTCCAGGCCCGTCTGAAGTTTGCCCAAGATCATCTGGATGATCCAGAGGAGTCATGGGAGAAGGTCGTGTGGTCAGATGAGACCAAAATAGAACTTTTTGGTATAAACTCCACTCGCCGTGTTTGGAGGAAGAAGAAGGATGAGTACAATCCCAAGAACACCATCCCAACTGTGAAGCATGGGGGTGGAAACATCATGCTTTGGGGGTGCTTTTCTGCAAAGGGGACAGGACGGCTGTACCGTATTCAGGAGAGGATGGATGGGGCCATGTATCACGCGATTTTGGGCAACAACCTCCTTCCCTCAATAAGAGCATTGAAGATGGGTCGTGGCTGGGTCTTCCAGCATGACAATGACCCCAAACACACAGCCAGGGCAACTAAGGAGTGGCTCCATAAGAAGCAGTTCAAGGTCCTGGAGTGGCCTAGCCAGTCTCCAGACCTGAACCCAATAGAAAATGTATGGAGGGAGCCGAAACTCCGTGTTGTCCAACGACAGCCCCAAAACCTGAAAGATCTGGAGAAGACCTGTGTGGAGGAGTGGGCCAAAATCCCTGCTGCAGTGTGTGCAAACCTGGTCAAGAACTACAGGAAATGTCTGACCTCTGTAATTGTAAACAAAGGTTTTGGTACCAAATATTAAGTTCTATTTTTCTATTGTATCAAATACTTATTTCATGCAATAAAATGGAAATAAATTATTTAAAAATCTAACAATGGGATTTTCTGGAATTTTTTTGGTAGATTCTGTCTCTCGCAGTTGATGAAAATTACAGATCTGTCCATTCTTTGTAAGAAAACCTGAAAAGTAAATACTTATTTGCCCCACTGTACAACAAGAGGGCAAAGAGTGGTTAGGGGCAGCTGCTGTAGTTTGTTTTGAATCTCAGTAGTGGCTGAAAATTAATTATGTACAGAAGCTTAAATTGAGAAGACTGAGATCACTTAACATCTTTCTGTTATGGCAAGTAGCTGGATAGCATAGTTTCCAAGACTGGAAACGGGACAGTAGGTGGTCTTAAACCCACAACTTTTTGTTTTTACACTTCAGCGTATGTGCAGATTAAACAAAGGTGTTAATTAGTGAGCTAAGTGGTATTGATATGCACATTTTCTTAGCTTTGAGTAGAGCCAGACTAGATGTTTCTTGGTTTTATTTTAAGTTAAGCTTATCGTCTCCCGGCCTTAGCTTTGTATTTATAAACGTTCACAATTTTGGGAGTATTGTCTTTCTTGCTGAGATTTAGATTAGAAGATTAATACTACTTTCATGTCTGTCTGTTAAGAAGGAACAGGGTTAGGAACAGGGTAAACCTGCAAAGTTCTGACCTATGGTAACACAGTGTGGCTGCCTGCACCTCTGAGGTTCACTAATTTCCAGTTTATTCGATACAAATCCCAAAGTTTAAATATGACAAAGTGCGGTTTTATGTTCAATCAAGGGCCTGACTATTTTTTGGTTGGGCACAGGTTTCCTGCCGACTGCTCAAAGCCAAGAAACACTCTGGTACATAACCTCACACAACTTTTAGGCTGCAGTGAAAAAAATTATATACAGCATTACTCCAATTTCATGACTGAACTTAAACAACTTTAACAACAAAAGTATTTAATGCTGGAAATTATATATATATATATTTTGTCCTTTACTGATCTGTTGCATCTCTGACATGTGATTACAACTAAGCATACAGTAGGTATTACAGTATACATTCCCAGAGACTGGGTTTATCTAAATGATCTGTGTTTGCATGTTTTCCCAACAGTCTTTAGAGTGGACCTCTTCTGTTCCGGCAAGGTCGATGGAGAGGCCGTTTTGACGGTGCAGCTCAATCTGACCATCCACGCCAACAACTACACAGTGCTCAACTTCAAGAGGAGGAAAATGTGCTATAAAAGTAAGTATCCTGACAACTGTACGGTTAGAAGCACCCGTCAGACAGCAGTACAGCCTTATAAATGCTTTCATGTTAAAATGAGATAAAATACATCAAATAAAAATAAGAGGTCTGAGACACGGCGGTTACAGCGCAGTAATAAGTTGTATGCTGCCCTGAATGCAGCAGATGAAACAAAACAATGCCTCCTAGCAGGAGGAGCACAGGTGTAATTAATAACTTTAACGATGGCTGTGCATGCTGCCGGACGTTTCAGTGGCACGGAGCCATCGCTCATTGTTATTAGTTCCACCTGTGCTTTTCCCGTTATGATAAGTCAGAATGCCTTTTGGGGAAAATGTCTTTTGGGTTGACCTATAAGACTCTTTGTAGCACATACTGTTATGATGCTCACTACATTTTCTACATACACTGTGGATTGTGTGGGGAGTTCAATAAGGGATTTCCTTATTTTGCCAGCACTGTGTGTCAGTTTCAGAAGTTACAGTGTGAGATGGATATTTTTTCATTTTTTTCCCCCTTCATTTTCAAACTTCACAAGATATTACATGCAGCCAAAGGACTTCCTACCATATGTCCCATGGAAATGAATGTATCTTGTTTTGATCACAAGTTAAAATAGCAGATATAAGAGATTCCTTGTTTCTGTGGTGTTCAAACAGACGACTAACAATAACTTATTTTCAGCTACTGGAACTTTTCAAGGAATTGGATTAACTGATCTATTTTATTTTCTTATTGTATGCTCCTCTGATGAGAGGGAGAGAGTTTGAGCACACACTTTATTGCGTTCTTTACCAAAGAAGCAGAACAGCAGATCATCACTAAGGAGACAGAAACATTTAGACTTTTTGCTTGATTTTTGTCGAGGCACTTTTTTTTGTCTGACACTGATTGAAAGATCAGAGACGCATCTTTAAATCGCACTGAATGACATTTTGACTTCATCCTCCTTTAATCATGTTTACTGTGTTGTTGTCACTGCTTTTCAATGTGGCATTTGCCTACTTTGCTTTATCTTTGGAGTTCGCATCTTTTTATTTTTATTACTTATAGCCTGGATCAGCGTGGTCAGAAGTGACCTGCATGAAAGAACTTATTTCAACCCATATCATGCACCAGCTGTTTGGTTATTTTTAGCAGTAGTGTAAACACAGGACAGAATTTCTTTCTGAATGAAGTCTGCCATTCAGTTGACATTGACTGTAGTTGGTGCAATTCACTCTCCTTCCTCTGTGAACAGGAATAGATTCTGACCCAAAGATTCCCATTCCGCTCAACAATAACACTCTTCAACGACCTGACTGTAAGTAATCTTACATCCACATCCTGCTTTATTTCTCCTTCCCTGCCAGTTCTGTGTATTGTTTATCATAATTTGCATAACTAAGGTATATGATTTCAGAGACTGAAGAGAAGGATTCATTCTGCTATGGAAGTGCACTCTGTCAGTCCACAGCCCTTGGAGAGGTTGTCCTCTTCTGATCAGATTTGTTCAGGCTCTTTGCGAGCCCACTACCCCAGTAACAAAGTACCATTAGTTGGTTGTCTCTGTTCTGCTTGGGTAGGCCTGAGGAGCCTGGGGCTCTCAGAGGCTTTTAGAGAGGTGATGAGAAAAGCTCTCAGAGAGTGGAGCTGGCACTGCCTCTACTACCCCAAGCCTCCATTAACCCTACGTGGAGCCCGCGGTGCACTTCTCTTGCACTTACTCATGTCTTTGTCTCATTGCCTTAGCTCATATTTTTCCTCTGTCCTTTCATAATAGCACAAATTGTTGATTAATAATGTGGATTGTTTTTGTCAGTAGATGGCGTGACCACCCCCACTACCTCCACCCAAGTGTTCTATATAAGTGTGAGTGTCTGCTGCATCGTCATCTTCCTCGTGGCTATCATCCTGGCCATCCTGCACCTCCACAGCATGAAGAGAGTGGAGATGGAGGACAGGTTTGATTCTTTTGTTTTTACTAGTTCTGTGAACAGCATAGTCATTTTAATAAACTGATGAAAACCAGCACACAGCAGAGTACATTTACAGCCTTGTGTCTGTCGCCTGTTGAAGTTATGTTAGTATTTCTGCAGAGTCCTTCTATTCAGAGACCAACAATAATCTCCACAGAGAGGATTATATCAAGTTGAAACCCACACTGTAGCTTCCCTGTTCTTCACTTCCTGTAATCTCCATTCCAGATGGCTGTAGGCAGCTCCACAGGTTAACAGATATGTGTAATGAGTGTTTTTTTAAATGTCATGGAAATATGTCGAGTTTGATATTTGCACTAAACATCCTGTTCCTGTGATGCTATTTTGCCAAAGCGGCTTGTTTTGATCACATTGTATGATGGGATCCTTGTGTTGCACTAAAGTATTTTGTTGGTCTGTCGACTAGATCCTTCAGTTCTAAAATCACTCTGGCTGGTGATTAGCATGAATGTTAATTGTGGTATATTTGTAGATGATTTTAAATGAGTTAGTTGATAGACCAAAAATTAATTGGCAACTATTTTAATGGCGTTTAAAGAAAAACTGGTGAAAATTGATTGTTTTCAGCTTCTCACATGTAAATATTTGTTGATTTTCTTAGTCTTTTTCATAGTAAATATTTTTGGGTTCTGGACTGTTGGTCAGACAAAAAAGGCATCTAAAGATGTTACCCTTGGGCCCTAAGAAATTGTGATTGGCTTTTTCTTTTTTTTGCTATGCTCTGCCATTTAGTGTATTAAACAATCCCAAATGCATTAATCTATAAAATCTGATTCATTGATAATAAAGAAGAGTGCTGCTGCAGAGCATTGGCTGATTGTACCAGACTGTAGTAGATCAAATGGAATATGTGAAACATGTCTGACCTTTCTTTTAATGGAACTGCAGTTTAAAACTATGTACCCTGGGATGTTTTAGTGTGCACAATATACCTGAAGTCACAAGGACAAGGTTGAGTAAGTGGGGTTTTTTTTTCTTGTCATAAAACAGTCACTCCAGTGTTTGTCAGTAGACAAGTTGAACACATTGTTTGGACTCCGAAAACTGCAGCTCATGATGCTATAGTGACTGAATGGTGATTGTTTTTTGATCGGACAGAGCTACAGATGTGCACATTGCCATGCGCCATGCATAACCAGGCTGTTAGATGGTTAGAATGGCCACGTAAACTTCACAATGTATTTGTGCAGCCTCACTTCAGCTTGGTGTTATTCCTCTGTCTTTCAGTATGAGTGACAGTGGAAGTTCCCAGGGCCTGTCTCAGCCGTCCACCCAGACCACACAGTACCTGAGGGCTGACACACCCAACAATGCGGCCTCTGTCACCAGTAAGACGTTTTATTTCCACTTTCCACCAGAACACAGATCAATGGGGATTAGTAACCACATGCAACATCAGTTCACTTTTTATTTTTTTAAACATCTGGGGATTCCTCCAGAGCTGAGTGGTCTTGGTGACGCATCATGGACATGTGCATTAGTGGTCAACCAATATGGGGTTTTCAGTGGCGGGTGCTGATGCTGATGGCTCATGTTTAATTCTGATATTATGAGGGTTTATTTTTGTGCCAGATAAAATACAATAATTTAATAATTATAAATGAGACACAAATGTGCTGAACCTGCAAGAACATTTATTTGACACTATTCAGCATATCTGAACCATTTCAAGTATTTGAAAATAATCAACGAGCATTGTCTGTTTGTTACAGTCTGCAATCCCCTTATTGCTTTAAATGAAACTGACTGGCAGATTGTGCAGATTTTTAACTGGCCTTAGGAGGGCAGACATCGGCCAATACCCATTATCTAAACATTTCAAATGCCTCTTTGTGACACAGAACAATAAAGGCAAAATGCTAAAAATAAAAAACTACTTTAAAGCATGCCTAAATTTTGTGGAGTTAACTGCACATGCAAGATTGCACCTTGAAGGGCTTAAGTACATTCAGACTTGTCACTTTTGCTATTTAATATCATACCAGCATGGCAGATCATTATATCATGCATGACTCTCAGCTGCAACACATAGCCTCTGGTGAAGGTTGTTGCTGGTTTTGTGTGTATCTGTCAGTGTAGTAACTCAGCCAGCCCTTGTTCTCTTGACTGGTACTCACTGTAATTCTGGGGTAAGTTTGGTTTATCATGTGGATTTGGCCTTTTATTTACACTGCAAGTACAGCAGTAGGGTCATGAAATGAGATTCAGGGTGTCATGATAAAATCATCACCACTGTTACCGTTGCAGCCCTGGGATTAATGAGAGATGCCTGAGTGTCCCAGACTAGAAGCAGCTGCTCTGTAAAACCACACCATTTTGTTTTTATTCATTGTTTTTTGAATGAATTGATGAAAGGAGAGACAGCATGCTAATTAGTGTTAGATCAGATTAGATTAGATGTTTTGGTATGTGTACATTAGTAAATAATAAACTCTAACTTGAGCATTTAATTACATTAACATGCATTTTAAATGCTAGTGTAAAACCCTAACTTTAAGAGAAAAGCAAACATTTCACCTGAAAATAATTGCTACAGTCCCAGTGAAATACTTCTGGCCAGTATTGTCAGGATCTTGGCCTGAGCTTTTCAGATCAATCTAGGAGTTATATAATGTTATGAGACGTTTTTCAACTTAAAGCTTTTTTTATGTTTCAAAACAAAAAGTAATAACCACAGGCTTTAATTAGGTAATCATTTGTTTTTGAGATTCAGGGATTGTTTTGCTTCACATCACATGCGGTTTGGTGTACAGGCAGATGTTAAAACTACTGTGGAGAGTATCTTTGACTGTAACCACCCCAACAATAATCCTTCTCAGTTGGGTGTGATAGTCCTGTGATAACCGAGAACAACTGGAAAGCAGGCCATCTCGTATGTGCCTCACTTTCATGTATGATCCATCAGGGCCCTCTTGTGGACACCGTCCACATTTCACCTCCTGTGTGATGACCCCCTTTACCTTATGGTTTGCTGAATTTGATTATTTGCACCACCATCTGCACATTTTTTCTGTGCAACTCCTGATGGGTACATTTACCCAACTGCAAACATGCCTGCTGTGATATATGTTCCTGAACATCCATTCTTTTTTTTTTGATTGAGTTATCATTAAACCACTTCTTTCTCTCTCTGTCCCTCCCTCGTTTCTCTTTTCATCAGACAATCACCCCGGTTCTGCACCCATTCTCCAGCTTGCTGCCTCCTCCTTCCAAAACCCTGGTGCTCCACCTCATGAAACCAAAAGTAAGTTTGAGTGTAGCTGTGAGAGACAGCTTAAGACTCAGAAATCTTTAAAGCCACCTGTACTGTGATAACACGTTATGTCCATAGTTTTCTGAACTTCACACTGCTTTGATCGTGTCTCACTCCCAGTAAGGTACTGTGTAAAAGTACTGCCTTTAAAAATGACACTAATTGGAAGGCTTCTCTTCCTCCTGGTGGCAGATCTGATCCTCAGAATCCTCACATATGCATCTCACCTGCTTTGTACTAACCTCATTTGTTACCACTGCTTGGCATCTCCTTGGGTATTGTAAGTTAGATGCTTAGGCATTTGGAATTTAACCTTAGAAAAGTCACAGAAAGGCCCCATGAATGAATGTTGAAACAGTAGCTGATTAATGAGTTGATTGAAGCACAAAAATTAGTAGAATAATCAGAACCTTTGTCCTTTAAGCGTTTTGTGCAACTCGGAGTTATGATTACACTTGTGCAGTGCTCTTTAACATATCATGTTAGGGATGTAACAACACCTACATCTTGGCTTTTTGTTGAATGTTCACATGTAAAGGTGACAAAAGTAATTTACTTTTAACTGTGCATTTGTTCGTCACCTTTTCCCCACAATGCAATGCACAAAGGAACCTGAGGAGCTGCTCAGAGCTGGAAAAAAATTCAGACTAATTGTGGATGGTGGTGAAAAAGTGTTGTCATTTTTTTGTTAGTATAAAACTTTTAACTACCCTGATTTCTTTTATACTAACTGCAGTGTGCTGCTAAGATGAAGCCATCGCACATACTGTACTGTATACAGTTATAATGTAATATGTCTCTGTATCCTGGGGCACAGCACCAGCACTTGTTTGGACCAGAGTCTGTGGCTGGTGTCACACTGGCCTCCGCAGGCTGAAGAACATTCCTGCACGAGGAACTGTCAGTGCAGCTGTTTACATACCCAGTATCAGTTGTTGTTCAGTGTACAATATATGTGTTGTCCCCAACATTAGACTGTATGGAGCTGAGCTGTGCCCTACAGTTTTTCATTAGATTATTCTTTTGGATTCACAGTTGAAAAAAAAAATGGTGCTCTTAGGTTGACTTATAGGGGGCAGCACTGTTAAACAGTTCACATGCTACAGCAGAGATTTAAAGCTTTAATCAAAGTAGCTAATAACATAAGTTGCGAAATCTGTATCTTTGAACCTACATGGGATCTGTCTGAGACTTTTATTGTTTTTTATTTAGATTTATTTTGAGATTAAAGCCTTTATTTTATCTCATATGTTCTCATGTAACTTAGATTTTCTATGTAAAATATCACAGGTAGCTCATAGGAACAAGAAGGGGCTTGACTGTCTTTGCCTCTGACTGTATCAGGGAGCTGTTTCCTCTGTATCTGTGTATTCGCAGCTTTATCTGCAGTTTGTCTAAGCAACTCCCCATGAGATTAGATTGTGGCATGTTGTGTACTCATGGAGTGTGTTGATATAAGAGGCCTGGGTTTGTTCATCTCTGTGCATTCACTGTGGGCAGCTTTGTGTGTGTGTGTGTACACGTGTGCTTTATATCCAAACTGGCTCCATGACAGTGAGTACACAGGGAGGTTATGTAATGGAAGTGCTGTAATACAGGACTTTGCATGAAGTTGCATTGATGCAACATGTGTGGGGTTTTACATGTGTGTTGCTCACTGTGTTTCCTATAATTGCTGGAATTCTTTGCATGCAGATAAGAGCTCTGTGTGTTTTAAGAGAAATCATTCTGTGGAAATGAATCAGAGTGTTAAATGATGCAAAGCAGATCTCCCCCAAGTTGCTTTCTAGTGTTAATCTGGGTTCACAGTCCTGTTAATCTTTTTTTTTTAATGCAATCCTGTTTGCCTTTGCTGTGAGGCTGTGTTTCTGTTTTCATAGGTTATCCTTCTCTTCGCATAGAGAAGAATGACCTGAGGAGTGTCACTCTAATGGAGGCCAAAGCTAAAGTGAAAGACATAGCCATCTCAAGGGAGCGAGTCACACTGCGAGATGTCTTGCATGAAGGTATTTGTCTCTCTTGCCAAATGTGCCTCCTAATTTATTTCTGTACTGTTCAGAAGAGTGTGAACATTATTTCAAGAATTTCAGTGAAGCATGGACCTCAGTCATGAGCAGCTCTCTACACAGCTTTGCAGACTGTGTTGTGTGGCATGGTTGCAGTTCTTCCCTTTGCTTTGCTCAGGAGTCTGTGTATGTGAGATGCAGGTCTCACTGTAAGGTTGCTGGAGAGGATTAAATGGTGTGACTGTGGCTGTAGTTAGCATTGTGGTTCACTGAAAGCCTACACAAGACGTCATGTAGGTACATGTATTTTGCCCCTTGTGCACCATGAGGACTGACAACTACCGTTAGATTACATATATTTATATATTTTTGCTTACATAAATGACATGAAAATTCAAATGGTAAAAAAAAAAATCACTGTCCCAGTGCCTCGGGTGTGACCTTAGTAAAACGACACAATTGTACAGCATAATAGTGTTACACAAGCATTTCTGACGATGAGATGAGGGTGAGAGGTGCCAAAACTGGAGCCCATACTTTCCAATATGTAATCAGTTTTATCTTCTCAGCCAGAGGTTTACTGATACCAGGCTCCACTAGCAGCTGACAGTTCAGCTTAGACTGGTCTTTAGGCTACAAACATAACATAGAAGTTGCTAAACATGAACATCATGCTCTAGTTTGTTAAGGCAAAAACTACAAACACTAAGTTTAATACATGGGAAACTATATGAGTTTGCCATCTCCATTAGTTTCTTATGAGACACAAAACTGCAGTCTGTTCTTCTGTGGTGTGGCTCATTACTGTGCTGAATTATTGCAGCAACTGCATAAGAACAAAAGCTTATTCATAATCACCACCATTATCTTTTGTATTGTTAGTGTCTGTGGCAGAAAAATAAAATCGATGGTGACCTCTGAACATGAATGCTGCTTTCTCCTTGCAGTGGAAGCTTGAACATGCCTCATCAGATCAGTGTCAGTGAGAACTTGCCATGAACCTAAAATAGCAATAGCTTGTTCCTCCTGAGGCATTTCACATATTGACAGAAAGTGTGAGTTACTTAAGTTACTAAATCTCCTTCTTTGGCTTCATATCAAAGATGATAAACACAAGTATTTGGGCTTGAGTTTCACTCGTGCAGACTTTATCGCTATTGACGCTGGATGCTTCTGGAGGCGATTCAGCATTGTCAGGGAGTGATGGTACTGAACAAGACTGTACTTCACTTTCTGGAGATCTGCCCGCGCTGGGGTTTAGTGTGGCTGTGGAAATTATGTAATTGTTACCCAAGACCAAGAATGCAACACACTGGAGGAGAAAAGCGTTGGTGTTCTGTTTTTAAATGTCACTTAAAGGTCTTCTGTGGTCATTTTTTATCTAGAAATTGAACCTGAACCTAGTATTTTCTGTTCAGCTTGTTGTTTAGCGTACTTAAAATGATACTTTACAGTACAAAACCTAAAATTGAACTCTGTAGTCTCAAAGAAATATTCAAATATTTTGATTTTAGCTAACCTAGTGACATGGCTATAGACTTGAGTCTCTGTGTCACTGAAATATTAATCTAATAAATGTACTGCAGTGAGAATTTGAAATGACATTCATGTTCCAGCATGTGACTAGCTGCTAAATGTCAGCATACAGTCATGGCCAAAAATATCGGTACCCCTGCATTTCTGTCAGATGACACACCACTTCTTCCAGAGAATTGCTGCAATCACAGATTCTTTGGTATTCTCATGTTTATTTATTTTGTTTGCACTGGAACAACAAACAAAATGGTAAATGGACTGTATTTATATAGTGCATTTTTTCCACAGTGTGTTGCACTGGCCAAAGCACTTTACAGGAGATGATACACCATTCACCCATTCACACACAACATTCACACACCGATGACAACAGGCTGCCACACAACGGCGCTAGTCATTCCACCGGGAGCAATTCGGGGTTCAGTGAAGACACTGCAAGAGCTCAGGGACACTTAGGCATGCGGGGCGACCGGGAGTCAAACCACCAACTTGCTGGTCAGGAGACAACTGCCCTACCTCGTGAGCCACAGCCACCCCCAAAAAGCCCAATCTGATCCATTCCACACAGAACTCTGAAAATGGACTGGACAGAATTATTGTCCGTCTTTTAAGCTCAGAGCTGCCGGAAAAAATTTTGTTGTGCTATGCATAATGACAATAAAGATTCTTGACTTGACACCTTTTCAAAACCATCAGGAATAGTTGTATTTCAAGCATGTGATGCTCCTTTGATTTGTAATGACACTCACCTGTAGCAGCCAACAGGTTCTGGCAACATAGAAATCAAACTTGCAGCCAGTTAAAATGGAGAAAAGTTGACTCAACCTTTCTGTAGTGTGAACTACACTCGGCTTGGAGAAGAGAGAGAAGAGCAAAGAATTGTCTGAGGATTTGAGAACCACAACAGTGGAAACGCAGGGACGGTCTCAAGGCTCCAAGTCCATCTCCAGAGATCTGGCTGTTCCTGTGTCCACTGTGATCAACATTGTCAAGAGGTTTACAGCCCATGGTGCTGTAGCTAATCTCCCTGGACGTGGACGAAAAACAAAAACAGATGACAGATTGCAATGAAGGATTGTTTGAATGGTGGATAAAGAACCTCGATCAACTTCCAAACAAATTCAAGCCAACCTGCAGCCACAGGGTGCAACAGTGTCAGCTCACACTGTCTGTCACCCTCTGAATGACAAGGAACGCTACGGTAGGAGACCCAGGGTGACCCACTGCTGACACAGAGACATAAAAACCCAGATTGGAGTTTGCCAAAACCTACCTGAGGAAGCCACAAACCTTCTGGGAGAAGGTCCTGTGGACACATGAGACTAAAATAGAGCTTTTTGGTCGAGCACGTCATTGTACTGTTTTCAGTGCTTTTTTGTAGAAGCATCCCCCAAAACCTATCTCAATGGGGGGAGTTGCTGTCGAAAGCTCCCGTTGCCCATAGTCATCAAACAACCTGGAGTGGAGCAAGCAGGGAGAGGGAGGGCTGGGTGGAGCGGAGGCGACCGATTCTAGAGTCTCATGCTTAATTAAACAATTTGGACATTGTATCTTTAAGTTTACTTATTGTATTGACTGATCACTGTACCTTTTTAATCTGGTCTGCTGTGAATGTGACTTGGCTTTCACAGATTTTGAGTATGTGTTTTGTGGTAATTGAAATGTATTAAATGAACAGTTGTAAGTGTTAATTTTTTTTTTTTTTCGATACAATTCAGGGAATGATATGATGTGTTCACTTCAATGACAGTACAATTAAAAACCCAATGACAACAGTGTATGACTAGCTGCAGAATCCTTGTACCATATTCCTCTTTTTTCCCCCTTTTCTAGCATTGATCAGATTATGTAAAGAGCAACCAGATATTTTGAATTGCATTCTGTTAGGCTATCTTATTTACAAAAAATATTAAGTCTCTGGTGCATGGAGGCCACATGGTATATATATCGCTAGACAAAGACAGATTTTGTGACCTTTTTGTATTGCGATGTATTGAATTTGAATATATTGTCCCATCCCTAGTAGTTATCTATGTACATCAAACCCTACATACAAAATCATAGCAAATGCAAAAGAAACATTCTAAAAATGAAAAATGAGGCATAACAGCTAAGAAATAACAAATAATAGACACGCCAGGCCATGTATGTTTCAGAGGCATTTGAACTCTGTGTGATTTAGGAGCCAGCAGGTCCAGACAGGCTTGACGGTGCAGGAGGGAGACCGTTAAACACTAACCCTCTTGTTGTACCTGTTGAAACACAAGGCCTAGTTAGCCTCAGGGCTCAGATTTTTTTCCCTAAGTTTATGTTGATGGTTTATGTTCTTAAATGGCATTTAACCTCAGTAAAGCCTTGGAGCATCAGAGTGACAGTTTAGACAAAGAGGATGACGAACGTGCTCACTTAGCCTTTCCACATCGTACGTATTTCTGAATCTCTCTGAGTGATGAAAGGTATGCTAAGCTCTGCTGAATTGTTCTTGTTTTGGCTCATGTCAGTGAGACAACAGCCAAAGCAGAAGCCTGTCCGCCTCTGTCCTCAGATCAATCAGTCACGGAGACCGCTATGTGAGGTGACATTTCGATCTTTGACTGTGACGCCTCTGGCTGTCTCTCAGCTGCCCTTTTCCTCTGATAAAAAAAACCCTGTGATTTGTTTTCAACAGGCACCTTTGGCCGCATCTTCCATGGCGTGCTGCTGGATGAAAAGGACCCTGGTAAAGAAAAGCAGGTCTTTGTGAAGACAGTCAAAGGTACACACTCTGTCCTGTTTGTAATGCACAACTCAATGCACCGTTGAGAAAGTAGAGTTCAGCTGAAAATACTGTCAAGTCAAATGTGTCGTAAATGAGATGGGAATCTCTCGTATCAATGAGCAATGCTGTGGTTCTTCCAAGAAGTGCGGTTTGGCAAAGTGAAACATTGTAATTCTTAAGAACGTCATTAGAAGAAAACACGACTATAAACGTGCCAAAGACATAAGATGAATGATGAGGGTTGTTGGGCTGAAAATAGCAATGCAGTTGTGCAATTTTGAATGTTTTTCATCTTCTTTTTCAAATGAGCCCTGGTGGCAAACACCATAGACTATCAACCAAACACTGTCAGAAATAATTAGGTGCTTTTCTTAATGGCTTCAGCAGATGGCCACACATGGTTGTAATCCAGTTACTGGACACATATGTGTGACAGTAAATGTCTTGCTCATGCTGCAAGGTTTGCACGCCCATGACCACCTTTAAGTGTGACTGTCAGGTTCTTTGTTGGCTTCAAGTGTCAGCTTTCTCTGCCAGCTGACTCCTGACCTCTCCATTCTCCCATGTTTACTCAGGGAGGGGTACATACCACTCAGCGAACAATATCCTCATGCCAGTTTTGGTTTTGTTAAACTGTTTACTTTCCTCCTAATGTGTCCTTTGGGAAGTGAATAATGTCCATAAGTACCAGACGATGGCAAAGCTGCATACACAGATTAACAATTGGCAAAAGTCACTTTCCCACCTCAAATGAGTACTGGAAGACAAATGTATGCAGGAAAACAAACAAACCAATAAAAATTCTAATGCCACATGGAGTCAAAGGGTAAATGTGTCCTTACCTTCAACTTGCTAGTGCAAACAATTTGGTTTGGCAGCTATAAGGTCACTGTACATATATATATATATATATATATTTTTTTTTTTGTCTCTGTCCTCTTTCTCTCCAGATCATGCGTCTGAGGCACAGGTGACCATGATGCTCACTGAAAGTTGCAAACTCCGTGGACTTCATCATAGGTAAGTGGATGTGCTTACAAATCAGTGTTTTTAGAGCAGTTTGCTTTTATTTAACAAAAAATAAATCAAGTTCAATAAAATAACTTTAAAAGAAAAAACTGCCAGGACACCAGTGCTGTTTTTACACCTCAAGGCCACTGTTACTCCCAAAGCAGTGTTAACCTGTACCGTGGTTATAGGCTTATGTTGGTTTCTCCATGGTCACTGTTGTCCACTTTTTGCAAGTTCCACTTAATGTGGCAATAAAGATTCCAGTTTTCTCCTTAACCCACAACTGCATGCTGTTGGGGCAGTTCCCGTGGTCATCTTTTAAATGTCTTCGTTGGGCTGATGAAAGAAGACCACATGGTGCACACAGAGCAGATACTGAAACACAGACTCTGACAGGAACAAAACATGTTTTCTAACATACTGCTCATGCATTGCAATGTCATTTAGTAAATGTGGTCTCAGTTTTAATGAATGCATTTAATGTAGTTCAGTTTTACAGTAGAATTAGTCAAGCTAATTTTGCCCCAGATGCATCAGGAGGTTTGACCTTTCACTGTACTTTCTTTACATGGAAAAGACTTGTTGTCTGGGCCCACTCCTTCCTCTTTCCATTCCTTTGACCTCAGCAAGTTGATAACCTTTGCTAACATTTCCTCTTCCTCAGTCTGGCAATGGTTTCAATGACCCCCACTTCCAAGAACAGTATATGTGATGGCTTACACAGTCCCACACTGTTCCTCAGTTGGGCTTCCTCTATTTGCAGAAATCTGCTGCCCATAAGTCACGTGTGTACGGAGGATGGAGAGAAGCCCATGGTGCTGCTGCCTTTCATGGCTTGGGGGAATCTTAAGCTGTTCCTGCGACAGTGCAAGCTAGCTGAGGCTAACAACCCACAGGTAAGGCTTCAACACAGCATACATTCAGCTGTGCTTTTAACACAAGTCATTTATGAAACCATTAAGCTAAATGCCTCAATGCAAGCCACATATGGCTTTGCATTGAAACATTTGTTAAGCTTTTGAAATAAATGCCCCAAACTGGAAGAAAAGCAAGGTTCTGTTCAAGTGCCAAACCTGAAAGAACTTTGTGTGTTTGCAGCAGTCAACACCAAGTTAGCACTTACCAGTAACTACTGTTTACACTGTTGTTAGAAGGACTGTTAATATAGTCATGAAGAAGGTGCTCCAGGCATAGATTTTTATTGGCTATGTAAAGACAATCGGGCTTTTGTACAGGCTAACCCCAGGGAGTCTTTGATGTGCCTGGCAAAGCCACAGCACAGATCAACCAATCAATCAGCTGCAAAATGTAGATGTAGCAAGCGCCGTGCAATCACAAGATGAAGCTTGCCGTCCATGTGCGCTAATCAAAACCCCTTTGTAAAGTTTCAAGTAACACACCAGCACCTTTGTTCTCAGCAATCTCAGTATGTACTTTTGGCAGTTGAAGGAGACATAGTCATTAAGTTGTGCTGGTGCGATAAACGTCGAGCTATAAATCACAAGTGTGTCACTACTGAGATTAAGCTCCACAGAAAACACCGAGGGGGCGCAGCACTGCAGTGTGGCGTTGATTCTGCAAGTGAACATCTGGTTCAGAATCTTCAAGTGAGAAGAATTGTGTTGACCTTTTCAACTGTCGTCATTTTTCCATGGAAAGCAAATTGCATGGTGCTTGACTGTCTGGTACCATCTGCACACGTCTCAGTTTGACTCGAGCTGTTGACTTAAAGTGTTCTTATCTCTGATTATTGGTTACTAAGACTGCTCTTCTGTGTTGTGAGCATTCATGAAATTAAGTTGTATTACTGACCACTGTCAGGTAAGATGTGTATCTGTGGAAGATCACCTACATATGAATACATATAAAAATACTGTATGCATTATTATATCATGACGCACCAGAGGAAAAGTTATTGGGTCAAGTTATTATAGTTCATCCCAATGGGGATTTGAATGTCTGTGCTAAATTTAATGGCAACCCATCGAACAGTTGTTGAGATTTTTCACTCAGAACCACTAATGAGAACCTCATGGAGGCATTAGAGGAAAATTCACGGCATCACCAACGCTAGTAGGCCTCATCGTCTTGGCACGGTGGATGTAGACCAGATTTTGTGGCAATCCATCAAACAGTTGTTGAGATATTTTACTAAATGCCAGATCAGCCTGCTGTTGGCACTATAGGACCACCTAACCAATACTGATGTACCTAGAGCCATGCTGCTTGCAGAGTGTTTTCTAGTTCTTTTTAGTTAAGAGTGGGATTGTGTCCAGCCTTAAATTGTACAAAGTGATTTTTCTTAAGAAAACACCTTATATTCTTCAGTTGGCTGGCCTTACATTGAAACTGAAATAGTTTTTGTATATGCAACTCCCTTATTTGACCCAAAGTTGACTGTCTTCATTTAAAGGAAACGGAACATTTTGACACAGAAGACCTCTTTCACCACAGTAGAGTCATGTCAGCTGTGGTGTCCTGTTCCCACTCCCTCCTGTATTTTTGATCTTCCTGCCTTTGCTTGTCAATTGCACATCATGCCTCTCTCCCTCATGTCCTCCCAGGCGATCTCTCAGCAAGACTTGGTTTACATGGCCATCCAGATTGCATGTGGAATGAGCTACCTGGCTCGCAGGGAGGTCATACACAAAGACCTCGCCGCCAGAAACTGTGTGTAAGTGTCCCTGAGCTGGCTTATACCTGTCTTCACTTGTCCTGATCTTTTCCCTGCAGCCTTCAGGTGATTTGGCTTGGAATTTAATTACTAAAAAACAAAGACACTGACTTTTCTCTCCCGTTCTCCTCTCACAGCATTGACGACAACATGCAGGTGAAGATTACAGACAATGCCCTTGCTCGAGACCTATTTCCCATGGATTACCATTGTCTGGGGGATAATGAGAATCGGCCCGTTCGCTGGATGGCCCTGGAAAGCTTGCTCAACAATGACTTCTCTAGTGCAAGTGATGTGGTAAGAAATGGGGCGCCACACTGTGCTGTAGCACATACCCCTGCACCCCCTGCAAGGCAGGCGGGGGGTGGTTGGCTGCAGTCCAAGGGCCCCACCTTCCAAAAATTATCATAAAAATCTATAAATTAGGATTATATACACAACATTGACTGCATTTTCAGGGCCAATTTAGAATAAAGATAAAATAAACATTTATAAATATTTACTGTCATAAACCATAGCATGGAAAATGGTTTGTCCTCCGAACAGTGACACAGGGAACCTATCAGCACTGTTTCAGAAAGTTTCCCAGAAACAGAATATTGATATTTTGCAGGCAAGCAAAAATATTTATAGGCTATACCAGTGCTTCTGAGAGCCTTGCTTCACTCAAAGGAGAGTTACACAGCCATCAAGAGGTGGAAAGAAGGTTACTGCTGTTACACTGACAGGAACCTTTGTCAAATTAAACAAGGAAATGTCTAAATCAGCAGGTGCACCAGCTGAAATTGAGCATGGCTTGGTTCAAGATGAATGCTGTATTCATAAAGCTTCGCTCTGTTCTGCCAAGCGTGTCTGACTTAGCCACCGCCGTTAAGCTGCTTCTCACTCTACCTGTGACAGTTTCAAGTAAGCACTGAAAGATCCTTCTCAGAACCTAAGTAAACTAAGACTTAACTGAGAAGCACACAGGAGAGACAGGCGCCAACCCCACTACTGAAAATATCACACTTGCAGTCCTGACTTAAAGACAGTTGTAGGCACTGGGATTTTTCTCATGGACATGCCAGAATGTTCACATGTATACTCAACTGCAAACCTGTAAGAAAAGCCCCTTTCCTAATGGGGGAGTGCTGATAACCTTGGCATTCCACTCCATCTTATTATATTACTGTGTGTTTGCAAAAGGAAAAAATGGCCTTTACAAAAACATGTTCATTATATGAGAAGTGAGCAGATCAAAAGAGAGAAGCTTCGTAGAGGAGATGGATCCGGTCCAGTTGTCGCTACGCAGTGTCGGGCTTGTGGTTGCAAACGGCGGCGCAGACCTACAGCACAAACTCAGCTGATCTGTTGTCTTTTCATCAGCTGTGCTCAGGCTTGTTAGCAACACTTATGTAGTTTATCACTGTCAGTATCATGAGCACAGTAGAGTTAATGGCTAATGTGTGTGTAATGAACATACGGTAAGAGAAGCAGCAAACTACTTGTTGCAAAAGTTGTGCAACAGTTTAAAGTGAATTGGCAGGTGGTGTTTTCATGATAAAAGAATGAAATCGACTTTGTTACAATGAGTGAAGAGGAGCTACAGTTATACGTTAATGTTGTCCCAGTAACTAGTCGTTATTGGTGTTGTCAAGTGGTTTGTTAAATTCCATTTGAAATAAAAGCTAGCCTACCAGCTAATTCACTGCTTGGCCTGAATGACGTGATATTTCTAATGTTAAGCTATCGAGTGTTCAGTGTTGCCAGAACGGGCCCCACTCGAGGTTTGCTGCGGAGGGGCCTCAATGTGTTTGTGTTACAGACTGGTACCACATGTACAGTTTATGTATTGCAGTTTAACCATCCAACCCTATATCTGTGGGCAGTGCATTCATTTCCTGTCTCTCAAGGGTTTTTAATAGATAAAATGTTGGCAGGGGTCATGATACAGAGATGATGATGCAGGAAATGGCACTCATTGTACTCGAGCCATTCTAAGACACTTGGTCAAGCTAGAGGGAAGGAAGGAGCAGGGTGGGCTCCATGTATCTTTGGCTCTTCTCTCCTTCCTGTCTCAGGATAACAGAGCGGGCATGGCAGAGAGAGTCGGGAAGTTTAACAGCTCCTTTGAGACACCACTCAGACACCAGCCAGACATGCCCCTACCCCTCCACATTCCTCTTATGGTCATGCTGCTTCATGGCAATCACTCTCTGGCGCTTACAGTTGACAGAGGCCTGGCATTCACAGCCAACTTTAGGAGAAGTCCAGACACATACCTGCAGCTGTGTAGCATCACTAGTGCATCATGTATGCCACCGTTCCTCACATAAATCCTCCATACCCTTATGTCAGTGGTTATACAGGCTGGACAGGGGGAGAGAGTGACTGCTGGTGTGATTAGGCCGTGTTGGGAATGTTGGAAGTAACCTGAGTGGGAAACAGGTTGGGCCGCTGTGCAACATATTATTCCTCTGAGATGCCCTCCTGTCATTGTGCCTTCTGTCCTCAGTCACTCCTTTAAGTTTCTTTAAAGGGCCTGTGTCACCCCCTTAAAGGCTGACACACCAACACGACAGAGACTTGCTCTCTGACATGTTAGTGAGAGCTGATGGTGACTTGGGAAAAGTTTAGACAAGAATCAGCTCCCAAATAACAAGTGTAGGGTTCACACCAACTCCAAGTACGTCCATTTTTAAGAGTGACTTCAGATATGGGTTCACCATGAGAGTGGCACTTGGATGTTGGGGAAATGCTTCTTGTCCTTGTTGCGTCATGGGAGGTCAGAGTGAAGAGTGAGCACAACCACACGTCACTGTGGGCCCTCACTAACACAGGAGCGTGAACACACAGGCTCTCTAAATGTAACAGCCACCGCACTGTTGACCACGGGCTTTCCACACTGTGTACAGAAATGTGTGATGATCACATGCTAAAGGCAGCTGCTTGTGTTGAGCGCTCATCGTGTGCTGTGTTTTCACAGTGGGCCTTCGGAGTGACGCTGTGGGAGCTGATGACTCTGGGACAGACCCCCTATGTCGACATTGACCCTTTTGAGATGTCGGCCTACCTGAAGGACGGCTACAGAATAGCACAGCCTATCAACTGCCCAGATGAACTGTGAGTGGATTTACAGTGCACACAGACAAATAGAAACCCTGCATTTTCTGATTTTATTTGAGTTCTCTATCGATCAGGTCCAAACACAGTGCTCGAACACATTTAAGCTGCTTCTTATTCACTCTAGTTTAAGCTTAGTAAAGCATAGTTTTACCACATGTGGACATCAAGGCCACCGTACTCCTCACTGAACAGCACGTTTTGGTGTCTTTCTTTTGTCTCCACACATGTTCTCAGGACTAGAGCTGAAACAGTCATTAGATCAGTTAATTATTCAGTCAACAAGAAACTGATTGGCACATTTTTATGTGGCATGAGAATAAAAATAATTGTACTGAAATCACCAGAAAAAGGTTTCAGCAAACAAAATATCATGGACAAAGAAGAAACTTGTACAAATAAAAAGGTGAACTTGTTAAAGTAATGAAGGATCAATAAAACTGATTCACGGTGAGAAATAAGAGCAGTCAATATACCATGACATTAACATTGTTAAGGAATAAAAATAAAATTACATTTCACATACATTTACATCTTTCTGAAGTACAGCAAGATGTGTTTGTGCTCGTCTTTGTCACTGTTATCAGTAGACACAGCCAGGTTTATGGAGACTTCTGCAGCATTACCATCATGCATGTGTTTAAATTTAGTGTGGTGTTGAACGAGCTGCCAGTGTTGGTTAATATGGAGCTTACCAACATCCTGCAACTATCAGTGAGAAGGAGCAGCCTGTGTGCACAGGCGTCATGTTATTTACTGAGTATTTCCTCAATACCAAGTTCCCGGTGAGGCTGTCGCTTCTCACTGCTGGTTAATAACGGGGTTTTCCTGGCTCAGGTCAGGGCTGCAGCGGAGAACCGCCTGGGTGGGTCGCCCTGTGATGCATGACTCACTGGAGTCGGTGAAAATCACTGACAAAATGTATCGAGGTGTGGTGTATTAGTCTGAACACTAACAGCCTTTATAAGGAAATCGTTCCCTTTTTTTGCGGTATACGTTTACAGATTTAAACTAACAGAAATCTGAGGCACAGAAGCAAATGGTCTTATACTCGTAAAGTACTTTTCTGTGCATTGCAGCACACTCAAAGCCCTTTCACACTATTTGGCTGTACACCCACTTGCACTCCCAAAATACTGACACATTCACACACTGGTGACATCACCAGGAGCAACTCGGGGCTCCGTGTCTTGCTGAAGGACACTTCAACATGTGGACTGGACAAGCTGAGAATCGAACCGCTAATATTCCGGTTAGGAGATGACCCGTTCTACCTCTGATCCACAGCCACACTCCTAAGACACTATAAGTGTAATGTTCAGCTTATTTAATGAACAATTATTTTACTTTAATTGTACACACTCCTGCTTAGTCATTCTGTAGCCATGGCATTGTTTTCCACCGCTGTGCTGACAGTACACCGCTCTACGCTATCAGCCAACAGCTTGGACACTTTCCCATTCAGTGTGTTTACACGTTTGACTGGTACATCCCAGTAAAGCCTCAAACACCCCTTAGGTTGTCTACCACAAACCACAGCGGTGTGTTGGTGTGTAGTGTCGCGTGATGTCCACCGTTACTTTGAATTGTACGTTTTCAGTGTAGTTTGATGTTGTTTGCTTTATTTAAGGAATCCTCCTACAACCCGTTTCTTTACATTTCAGACATTTCCTCCATGCTTTTATTTCCTCTTGTTGAGATGACTGCAGTGGTCTCCTACCAGGCAGAAGTCACAAAACACAAGCAAAGCAAACAGACCATATTTCTACCTGAATAATGTTTTTACATTGGCTAATGTTTATTACATCTTAGCTACCAACTGTCTAAATGCAGTTTAAATTACTTTATAATATACTGATTTTAAAAAAAGTTGCTGTGCCCGGGTTTTGTTTTACAGCTTCTTCTTTTACAGCTTGTTCTTTCTTGCATCCTTGTGCTGGAAAAAGGCACAGTCTCCACAACATGGAATAATTATCTGAAATGTTAAATAACTCAACAGCTTTTCCTTCTAATACAATAGGTGGCGAGGTGATGGCTTCCTTTTCCAAAATATTAAAGGCTGCTGGAGCCGGTCTTGAATTTATATATCAGCATTTACATCGGTGCTGAACAGGAAGCTCCAGTTACAGCACAATACAACAAGTAGTGTGGGTCTAAGTGTAACATTTCAAGTGTGTACTGTGTACTTAACAATGTGCTGAGTTTGAGCAGCTCTGGGTTTCTTTTGTATTTTCCTTCTCTTGCCTAGTGCACCTTGTCTTAAACACACACAAAAAACATGCTTCACTGGACCCGTCTGTTTATTTTGTGTCCCCCTGTGTTGCAGGTTTGCAGTGATGGCGTGTTGCTGGGCCCTGGACCCCGAGGAGAGGCCCAAGTTTCAGCAGCTTGTCCAGTGTCTCACAGAGTTCCACGCAGCACTGGGGGCTTACGTGTGAAAGGGAGCTGTGTTTCTTCACGGACGGCTCCACTAAAGCCCAGCGGACAATATTTATAAGGAATACCTGTATGAAATGTGCCTTATCAGGTGGAAGAGCAGACTTGTGCCTGTTGATTTTACTTTGTACAGTCGTCTATAGTTTTGGTAGAGATGAATGACCTTTTTACAGCATAGCAAAGTAAAAAGGATTCTTTGTTGACTATTGTTTCATATGCTTTGAAAGCGCCTAGAAACGACAACTTGCATTGCTCTCCACTTTACCACGAGGAATGGAACAATGGGCAGATGCCCTCATCTGTACAGCACACCAACATTTATTGACATTATCGTGCCATGGAACAAGCTTTTTTTTTTTACATCTTCGGGTTGTAAAGACAGTATCCTCTACAGTTTGTAACTTAGTGAAGCAGTGTGAATTGTAGATGTGGTTTGGATGAGAGCAGCTCCACATCAAAATGATTTAGGTACCAAAGTAGACTTTAAGGCTACGTTTCATGTGTGTGAACATACTCTCAAGCAGGCTGCTTCACTCGACCCTGGTACGAAAGGCCTCGTGGAAACCAGAGCTGTGCTGGTTGAGATGATTTTGGAGACCTCTTCCAACGGTACACCTGATAACAACTTTGCCACATACGAGTTCTCTTGTCCTCTGACTGATGTGCTTTGCCACATATGAGTTCTCTTGTCCTCTGACTGATGTGCCAACACTCAGTGAAGATGTTTTTGTTTTGTTTTTCTTCAAACCAGCAGTGTGGATCAGACACGTGGGCGCCACAGTGAAAAACAGTATATAAACCTGATTTATATACGCCATACGGAGTGAATTTTGGACACTAGTATTATTTGAATGCCACCATCTTCTTCCTCTTTTGTACGTTGTTTTTCCACTATCACATCCTCTGAATTATCATTGTTTCGACTTTATAAGCTTGGTTGTTCTGTGTCAGAACGCAGCCTTCACAGGACCTTTTGACTGATTTTAGTAACTACAACACTGCTAATCACTGTGAACACACAAACTGCCTACCAGCTTGGTCTAATCTTATTCTCACACCTTTAACATCTTTGTCCTGTGTCTCTATGGTTTAGCATGTTGAAGTAGGGTTGTAAACTGCTTTCCAAATTCATATCCACAAATTAAATGGAATCTTTTAAATACAGCGTGCCTGCTTCGTTAATTTTCCCTCATCAGGAGCACTATGTGTACCACTCTCTTGCTGTACACTTAAAACAACTGCACTTACTGTTGTTTGAGCATGAATACCTGTTTATTTTATACCAACACAAGCCACAGCTGAAGCCGAGTGTTTCGGTACAAGAATGTTTTTCTGTTTGGCCTCAAAGCACAGTGGTCCCTTTGTTGTTCAACCGCGCCAACTGTCCACTTGTTGATAAAAGAAGAGCCAAATAAGTAAAGGAGTTTAGCTCACAGATTACTGTGTGTGTGTGTGTGTGTGTGTAATACAAAAGCACTATTATGGATTCTTAATTCTTTGGTTTCATTGTCTCACACTGCTTGTGTTTTGCCTTTTCACCTTAAGGCTCAGCTTGATGTCACATGAACACTGCACTTATTTGTGATGCTGTAATGGAAAGTTATTTAAAATCTAATTTGTGCATAATCTGTAAATTCCTTGCTTGACAAGTCCTCGACCTTACATGCTGTCAAATATATTTGCGGCCTGTAGGCACTGCATTTGCAATGGGTCTGCTGCAGAAAGTCGGAGGGAAAAATCCACCCTTCTGATATTCTCCGGAGTTCACTGTTCAAGTGTACAGTTTGGGCTTTTGTTACTCGTGCAATGTTGTAGTTTCCTATGATAACCTGCTAAAAATCAGTGGTGTGAAGTAGTTTAAGATGTTTCCACACAGCATTTGAAGATGACATCCTTTCAAAAATATCAGTCCTCGTTGGTTTTCAGTTCGTCACTTTCCACGAAACTTGTCAGTCATAGTTTCCTCACCACCAGCAGTCATAACAGACTAACGCAATGCAGCCGCAAGACATGTTTTGTAAATGCACATTCTCATTACCAGACTGCTGTGGCACAATGTTGCATGGTTTACTGAGTTACTATACAAAGTAAAACCTCAGTGTCGGAGGTCTGAGGGGGGGGTTCTGGGGAGCTTCTCCAGATAACGCTAACACGCTGCTGTTCTGTACAGGCCCTGCTCATGCTTGAAATAGATGCATTTTCTCCTTTAGAGCTTCCAGCCTGGATTCAGCTTAGCATGACTCATGAATGGATTTGCCTTTATTATTGTCAATCAGTTTCCTCAAAGTTTAAGTACATTTTCATCTGGTGTTTGCATTATTTCGTGTACTCACATGTAGAGTGGGTACATGAAATAATAAGTTTTGACTGGTGGAATCATGTCAGTGGACAGAGTCTGAATATACTCTAGATGTACAGTAAATGTAAATCAACTCTGACTTCTGTGGTGCTAGAAACCCGTTTATTTGACCAATAAGCTGTTTGTGAATTACAGTATATTGATGATTAATATATAGGCAGAGGTTTCTATGAAGCCCATGTCAGCATTATAACAGAGATAAGCATCATGACAGAGGTACAGTACAGTAAGCGCTGGTCTAGTCCTTTATAATATTAGCTCCACTTTGATCACTAGTTCCATTTTTCAAAGTCTAGTCTCTCGTATGTTAAGGTTTATCTGGGACTCTAATGGTTGGGAAAGTGTGGTTAAGATGTAAAGCACCTTCATGACAGTTCAACATCTGCACCAAGTACATCAAACATGTACTGATCACGCTCAGACCTACTGGCCACCTCGGACAGGCTCGTGCACATGTTCCAAGAGCACGGCAGACGTTCAGAGTTGAAGCAGAAGCCTGGTCTTGTTAAATGAAATGAGAGAGAAAACGGGCTCAACCAGACCAAGTAACTCAATTTCTCATCATTTCAAAAGATGCACGAGAGCTTCCTGAATACACAGAAAACAATCAGCTGTCATGTAAACCATAACACTTTTCATCCATTAGCAATGACAGTGAACATCCTATGATCATACATTGAAAGTGACCATTTTTTGATTGTGATTTTTTTTTTGTGTGTATTTTTTTTATAGAGTTCCTAATCTGCTCCTCTCACTGTCAGAGTTGGCATCATTTTTATGGACAACTGGGATTCTGGCGTTCATATGGAGGCTCAGTGTTCAAATTTAAAACCACTTAAAGATTGTTGGCCCAACTGTCCTGGTAGGTAGGTCACATCTGAGAGCGAGGCCCACTCGATCAGCAGACACCTACACTGAATCAATAACTGTATTATCAGCTGCCCCAGTACAAATTCTGTGTGGGTGTATGAGTGAAGGCAAGTCTGCAGGGTCATCAGTTTAGGGCTATGTCTCCAATGTCCCAGAACCACCCCCCTCTTTGTCTGCACCCACAGAGCCAACAGTCCTCCATCAGTATCTACTCAGTACGTTATCAAACCAAACGGTCAGGGCTACTGTTAGCAACCTGTCGTGATAATAATCACTCAAGCTGATCAGACACATCTCCTTTGTAAATGTTGAGAGCAAATAATAAAAAAAACAAAAAAAATCCATGTCCAACAATGAAAAAAGGTTTTAATTAAGAGTCTAAGCTCAACAAAAAAAAATAATGAGTCTTTCTATTTAAATTTTTGAAGCAGCATTGAGACATGTTGGAAAATAATTAGTAATAACAGCATATACATAAAATATTGTAACATGTTGGGGGAGACAGGGGGCGCCCTGGGGCTCTCTCACACACACACACACACACACACACACACACACACACACAAAAGGGGCAGAGACCGAGCCACTCTGTGGGGGGGGGCACAGTGAAACGCATAAAGACAGCTCTCCTGATGGGAAGTTAACAAGCTACCCAGCAGTAATTCAAATTAAATGCATATAAGCTATATAAAACTAGCTCCTTCTTTCCCAGCTGCACCATTAACTGAGACGTACACAATAACACTACAATAATATGTTATACAGGAATGTGAAATATGCCATTCTGCATCATGAGTACTTTTACTTTTAGGACTTTAAGTATGTTTTGATGCTAATACTTTTGTACCTTTACTTAAGTAATTACTTTTACTTGTATTGCTACTTTTACTTAAGGATCTGAGTACTTCTTCCACCACTGCAACAGCCTTATCTGAGAGACGTTAACGCGTATTTAAACGTGTATTGCAGGCCAAAATAAAGCGCAGACCATCGCTGGCTACATTCCAGGGTTTAGACGGGAACATCCATTATGAGGCGCGCTCCCGCTGCCCATTAGCTCCAGGCGGAAGCCGCGCATTCCGCGGTCGGTGGAGCATGAAACCTGTTGGAGCTGATGCACAACAAAGCGAGCATTCATATCAAGAAGGAACACACGATGATGTCTGAGTCGTGATAGCTGTCAGGTTGTGTGTAAACGATCCAGTGAGTAACGCCGAGTACTCACTGTGCTCATACAGGTGTGTTGCACAGACTCGCGCGTGACTCAGCCAATCAGTGCGGGACTGGCTGTTCCCGATTCACAACTTTCAAAACATTTACGCGTGGAGATGTGGGCTGAGTCCAATTACATCACGGACAGTCATAAGAAAGCACCCCAGCTCACCGGAGAGAAACCAAAGACATCACCTCTGACACGCACACACCTCGAGAGGCAGCTCCCAGAGCTCAGTGGAACGCGCAAGGACACGAGCTGAACCCACGGACGTAACCACCAGCACAGACATGAAGGGACTGAGGAGTTTGAGCTGCAGCATAAAGGTAGGGACCAGCTGTTGGGAAAGGCTTGTCTCAACCTGCAGCGCGTGTTCTCTCATTGTTTATGTGACAGTGTGAACTACATTTATTTAAACTTTACGCAGATGATATTACTGAAATAACACAAAGACAACTGATTTCAGAGGCGTTTGCATCTCCCACAGGTGGAGCACAACAAGGCTGCTCTCGGGTGTTTAATCAGGTTTAATCAGGGCTGCACCAATGGAACTGAAAACATGGAAATCCCAGCTAATTATCGTTTTTATGTTTAACAATCTATTTAGTCGTTATTTCTTTTTTCCATATGTTTTGTCAGACCAACAGTTCAAATTTACAGGCATTGAAAACCAAGAAATTTATCACATTTGTGAGCCTGAAACAAGAATGTTTTGCAGTTTCGCTTGAAAAAAAAAAGACTTGGTTCATTATTAATTTACTGCCAATCGACTAATGATCTCAGCTCTACTGTGCAAATGTCATTCTGCTCCAGGTGAATTGTAATAGAGGATAGTGTTGACAGTTTTGTTTTTCTGTAATCAAATCTTCATTCAGTAAGATTTGACACTTTATTGTGTTAGTTTTTTTGGTAGCTGTATCAAGTATATTGGTATATTTTCTGCACTTTGTCTTACTGACAAGATGGAGAAATGCAATGTTGCAGGCTAAGGAGCAGTTGTACTCCACTGTATGGCATAATGGCAGAGAAATAGTTTGTTCAAGCGCTGTGAGTAATAACAAGACAAAACTCTGTGTTGCACTTTGGTGGTTGCTGTCAGCCAGACATGAGTTGTCTTTTTCATCCTGTGAATGAAGCGTGACTAATGCACCTATGTTCTGTAATTCTGGAGAAGACTGTGAAAGAAGGAATAACTTGAGAAACTTCTACAATTCCCAGAAGGTCAGGGTTTATTTGAAACATCTTCAGAGTGTTTGCCTTAAGTACACAGACAGTGGTAGGTCCATATACTGCAAATAAGCTCCTGTTTATTAGCTTGACTTTAAAGCCCCCTCTGTTGAAATCAAAATGTATAGATATGGATTGGGTGGAGGACAGTGGAAAAGTGTGGCTCATCCTGCATGGATCATCTTTCATTTTGAAAGTTCAGAATGAACTTTAGCCCTGTATGAATGTGCAAGTTTAAAAGTTCCAAGCTATGTAATGCTATATTTAGATTGTGGCAAGAGTTCAGAATAAGCAGACCAACCAATAGGTAAAGTGTCGCTTAGATATTTCTGCAAGTCTTTTCATAGGGAAAAATCATATCCAATCATTTTTTCTTGACACCAGAACATGCTGTACAGCTCTTTGCTCTCTATTTGCTCAGTCTCATAAGGATATTTTGTTTGGTTTTTTACAACTTGGAACTTTGACTAGGCTCCACCTAGTCTGCACCCGGGTTACACTATCAAATGATCTTTAAGAATATTTCAGTCAACATCTGAGCCAAGTTTCTGCTCAGGTACATGTAATGTTTTTTATCCTGAACAGTGTAGCAAGAAATGTGACAGTCTCAGCTCCAGCTCACTTCTTTCCAGGCCTCAGTACATTTGAGCATATGACACATTTGTGGTTTTATCATGTAGGTAAAAGTTATCATTCAGAAAAATACACCAATACACTTTCTTGCTGAGAGTCGGATGAGAAGATGGACACCACTCTTACAACAATGTGTTAAATATGAAGGTTCAGATGGTTGGTTATCTTAGCCCACAGACTACAGCTAGCTTTGAACAGCTGAATGTACAAAATTCTTCATCCAGCAACTGTAAAGCTCAAAAATGAATAAATTAGCTCTTGTTGGTTTAATTCAGATGAAGCAACAGGTTGAAGTTATCCAGGGGATATACACCTAACCATTTGGTCAGATGCAGCCATAACCTCAGCGCTGCTTTGTAACTTGACTGTGACAACAAAACTTGGAGTAACTGCTAATCTCCTGTAAACCAGAAAATTAAATTAATTTACAATTATGTAATTTATTATAACATTAATTAGTGAGCTTCAGCCTTTGGGCAGAATCGCGCTAGCTCTTTTCCCCTTGTTTTTACTCTTTATCTTTATGCTAAGCTAATTGTCTCCTAGCAGTAGCTCTGTATTTAACAACTGAGTATATTGATCTTCTTATCTAACTCAGTGAGAAATTGAATAACTTTAAATCTTCAAAAACTCTCCTTTGTTCATGATGCCATTGTGCAACACAACGCTTTCATATTTGTTTTACAATGACAGAAGGTGGTTCTGTGGCTTTATGTATCCTGGGACACTTAGCTGTTCCAAGAAAAGATTTCTTTGTGGAAATCCGGGGATATCTAACACTATAGCTGCAACACGAGCCCCTGAAATAAAAGCACTTGAAATTCAAGTGAGAACTTCCCTCAATTCTTCCCATCGCAGCAGGGTTGAAGGTTGGGACAATAACGCCCCGACAGATGGAGCTGGGTATGTTCAAAAAGGACAAATATTTACATAATCCATGGAGAATCCAACTCTGCACAACCACTTTCCTGCTTATGAACATCAAATAGGCTTAAATCTCCTGCATTAACAGTGTGGATAAATAATAAATCCTGCTTCTTTACACTGTGACACAATGCAGACTGCAGCATTCTGCACTGATTGTGCTTCTGCTGCATCTCTTTTGCACAGTAATGCTGTATAAATATCTTCTTGAGGTTTCAACATTAGGAAACATTCCTCCCTCAAGAATAATCGACCTCCCCTATTTTATTATGAATAATGATCAGAAAATCTTGCACTTTATGGATTATGTGTTGTCAAACAGTGTTCTTGTATTAAAGCCAAATTGTCAGGAAGCCAAAGAGTTGTCTCTGAAACATGTTTGCTTCAGGTATTATCAACATTACAAATATGAATCCAACTTTGTTAATGTCTAAAATGGATTTTACGTTGACCTGAAACTGTGGTTAAAGAAACTGTTGTGAACCACAAACCTTTTGTTTTATTCTAAATCACAAACAAAAGAACCTCTTTGCCTGCCTGAGCAAATTGGTCTTGTCAGATCTTTTAGAAAATTGAAGCCCTTTTAATACAAAATGATTATGAAATATTAGCATGAGTGTAAAAGCATCTATTGTGTGTGTGCTAATAAACCATAAAGCCGAGCTTTAATAGGGGTATTAACTGTTCTGAGGTGAACACAGTTGAAGTTTGTCCTCCATCAGCCAACCTGGCAGCTGGTAAACAAGCTGAAAGCTTGGATTTATCATTGTTTTCATAGCAAGTTCACTCTTAATCTCTACACATATCTTTAGCGTGATTGGCACATTCATGTCCCCCGGGTGAATAAGCTTGCAGAGAGTCATCCCAATGTCTGTGAACACCACCTCAGCAGAGACAGTCGAGTGGCTCTTCAGATCACTGGGAGTCCGTCCACTACTTGGATCTTTGCACATCTCCAGGCATGTAGAGAGGAACTCAGGAAACAAAATCATGTTGAAGACGCACAGAGTATCAGTTGAACCAAAGTAGTTGGCTGAGAAGGATTTCAAAACCTCAGCATTGACTCACACATTTCATTAATTCTGCTGGAGTCGTGCTGTTGAGCTTTAAGGAAAAGCAGATGAATTACAGCTTTGCCATGAGACACCTTATACTGTATGTATAAAACTTTTACCAAACAGGGTAACTACCTACTAAGTGCATTTATTCAAGTATTCAAATACAACTTGGAGATACTGTATTTATGAATTTCCAATTGATGCTATTTTACACAAATTTCAAGGATTAACATTAAGTTGTGGAAGTCAAATGACTAGAGTCTAACTGAAATCATGACTGATGCCTTTCCACTTTATTTGACAAATCAAAAAATACCTTTAACTTGATTTCAGCTTTAAAGGAACAGTTTGATATTTTGGGAAATAGCCTACACTTTACTTATCTCTGTTCCCCAAATGCCATCGGGAGTTAGCTTAGCTTAGCACTAAAACTGGAAGAAGGGGGGAAACAGCTAACTTGGCTCTGTTCCGAGGTAAAGAATCTGCCTACCACCACTTCTAAAACTTTAAAAATGTTCACCAGTGACTTCCTGGTGATCTTTAGAGATGCTGGTAGGCTGGTTTTTTACCTTTTGGACAGAGCTGGGCTAGCTATTTTCCTGTCATTATGGTAAGCTAAGTCAACTAGCCTTTAGCTAAAACATGATGCATTGTTAATCAGCGAACAAAATATAAAGTAGTTAAAATAGAAAATGAAATATTAAAAATGAGCCCTCCTTCAACAAAATACAATTTCAAAAGGCTGCTTACATGTTAATACATTAGTAATAATGAGCTCAATCTACTGGATGTAAATATTGGGGCTAGTCATCATACTCTGTACTTCTGTTTTTGGTACTTAAGTATATTTTGATGACAGTACTTCTTTTTATGTCAATTACACATTGAATGCAGGACTTTGATTAATATATTTCCATTGCTATTTGTAATTAAGGATCTAAGTACTTTTCACTGTTGGGGGCATTCTTGGAAAGGTTGTCAGGTCACAAGGAAATTACCCACTGGACTGTTTCTGTTGAGTTTAGGATCAGTGAGTCCTCCTCTGTTGTGTTGGTACATTCATGTGTTTGTTGAGCAACTGCTATCTTTCTTTACTTTACAGATGTCCTCGCTGTATTTTGCTACATAGCCACTGTTCAGTTATCTGCTTCATTGTCATGTGATTGTGTTGAAAAATGCCAGAAACCTGTGTTCAACTGAAAAGCTTGGAGAGTTTTCCAAAACACCAGGGATAAGATAGTGTGGTTCTGGTTCCTCTGAAATGGTCTCTGTTCCTTGGAACAATGTAGCCGTCCTGGGAGGAATATGTCTTAGGTTTTGAGTTTGTTCTGCTTCCATGTGAGTGCAGCCAAATGCCGCTTGCAGCTGGAAATGGCACAGCTGACATTTATGATTGTAACCTATTTTAGGCCTGGGTCCTTCACTGTTACAGACTTTTGGCAGAGCATACTGGACATCTGAGATATAGTATGTGATAATGACATAAACTGATGGCAGTTCAGGTTATTTTTGATGGGTTTATGTTATGTTGATGTAATCATACTCATTTACTGTATGTTGAGCTGCAATATGCCAAAGTGAAGCAGTCCGTGGGTCAGTCAGTTTCCAACAGTTCTGTCCGATTCTGTCCTGGCTATCTGTATCTTTTCATATTTTACTCTTTCTTTGTTTCCATCTGTGTGTCCTAGTTGTTTGTCTTGTGCCACGGCCTTCTGCAGTTCTCTCAGCTGCTGTACAGTGCCTACTTCAAGAGCACCATCACCACAATCGAGAGACGCTATGGCCTCAGCAGCTACTCCTCGGGAACCATTTCCTCTCTCCACGAGGTAGGAGCCAACAACAACATACCCTCACATAGTGTGGGATCATGATAGCTGTATTTCAAGGACACTGATGACAAATAAGGAATTGGAGAATAAGCAACATCAAAATCACACTTCCTGACAATTCAAGAGGGACTTGAGTATTTTGGAACAGTGTTATTATGGATATGGGGATCCGGAATAATGAAAGAATGTTCTGTATGCGCTCAATGCACAGGGAACTGGATTTTCTTTTGCTCAAGATGCATCACACAGATAAATGCTTTCCAGTTGTTTTTACGTTTCATGTATGCACCGGTCACTAGTCACTAATTAAATCAATATGTCGACATTTCCCAAATTTCAGCTTAGCTTTTGTGGCTCAGATCCTGATAGGATTTGGCTGCAATTTAAGTTTTGATGTAATTCATCAGGTGCGATGTGACTTTATGAAAAAACAGACTAAACAAGGCCTGAATAGTTCAGTTTTGCACTAATCTCCGGTTAATGTGGTTAATGTGAAGCTGCTATAATCCATATTTTTATATTAACAGTGGATCAAATCACTATGTTCATTGTGAAAGTGGAGGAAGAAGTACTCAGATCCCATAGTTAAGTAAAAGTAACAATAAAATAGTGTAAAAATTCTTTGTTACAAGTAAAGGTCCTGCACTTAAAAAGGTATTTAAGTCAATGTACAAAAGTATTAGCATGAAAACATACTTAAAGTACTAAAAGTACAAATAAAAGTACACAATATGCAGAAGGGTACATTTAATCTAAATGTAAATCATATGATTTGATTATAATTACTGATGCATTATTGTGTTCAGTATATTTAATGTGTAAAGGTGGAGCTAGTTTTAACTAGCATATATGCTTATCATTTGAATTACTGCTGGTTAGCTTGTGAATTTTGCCACAAGTGACCGTTAAAGTCTTATGATTATACTGTCATTCTTGTATTAATCTGGTTCTGAAAAGTAGTTGTGGTTGCTACTGTGCAGAATCTGGTTGCAAAATGTGCCACAAAACCAAGATGGCTGCCTCCGCATTTATGATACTTTGGTTTCACTGTCGCATAGTTGCAGGAAGTGAGTGGTTTAGTGTCGTCCATGGGTGGAGAACAAAACAGAGCAAAAAGAAAAGTGACTATTGGATTTGGAATCATCACGTGGCCAGAAACATGCCTCTGAACTAATGATAATGTTACTCATTGGCAACTGTTATTAATAATTCACCACAGCAAATAATATGTATTGTGTTTCCATTGCTCCTAGGGCCAAAAGGTTTGTTAACACAGCTTTAAATTGTTTTATTTTCTTCTTCCACTACATTTCAGTGCATTGTTGAACACTAATTCTGAATTGTGCCTGAGTTGGTTTAGACCCCAATGAGGCTGGATTACAGTGCAACCCTGGCCACTTCCATATTTGGTTTTGTGAATTATTATTATTATTATTATTAACTGTGACTGTCCTACAGAGAGAAAATGCCCCCTCTGGAATCAGTCTTCTCTGAAATGTGTGTCTGTTTCTGTCTCATAGGTCAGTAATGGTGTACTGATCGTGTTCGTGAGCTACTTTGGAAATCGGGTTCACCGACCTCGTGTCATCGGAATCGGTGGGCTGCTGATGGCTGCCAGTGCCATGATCCTGACCTTACCTCACTTCATATCCCAGCCCTATGAATACGACTCAGTTTTACACAGTAAGGCGAAGCCATGAACATGAAGCCACGCTGCTCCTCTGTCTCCACTGGCACTGCTTTGACAGCTAAAGTGACTCAGTCCAAAGCAGGGGATCATGGATGTACAAATATGTCAATGCAATTTATGGCTTTCCTTAAAGTTTTATTTATACCACTGCAGCACAGCAAGTCCTTCCTCAACAAAAGGCCCATTGCACTCAGCAGGAGTCCAACACGTATCTGTTTGTCTCACTGTGTTCTGCAACAAACAGTGGCTCTGCAGTTGAACTTTTGCATAAATTAGATTTCAATTCATAATCTTGATGAACTTGCTGAAAGCTAAGCAGATTGGAGAGCCCCCCCCCCCCGGAAATTAATTTTCAAATTAGAACGCCCTTTTCTTTTGCCCCCAGACAAAGTATCTTACTTACTTGCGTCATACAGTGTCAGTGATGGTTCAGAGAAACTTTAGGAAATGAAAGTAATTGGACATCTGCATTCACTAACTTGTCAGTAATTATCACTGTCTACCCCCCCACCCCCTGTCCATGTGCAATCCAGATCGTCATGACATTTGCAACCTGCAGCGAAACGTGAGCGACTCTGGGACTTGTGGCCGTGTTGAGAGCAGGCGTCTGGCCGACACTAACAACCTGTGGCTGCTCATGGCCAGTGCTCAGCTGCTTTTTGGTGTGGGCTCGGTGCCAATTCAGCCCTTTGGGATTTCTTACGTAGATGATTTCGCAGGGCCTGGCAACTCCCCTCTTTACATAGGTGAATGACCTGTAATACAGAGATACACTCATGTGTTTGGATAAGGAGAGCACAGTCTGAGGGTCATGGTGTTATACTGGGTGATTCTGCAGATCTAATGTAAGCTTTTTAACGTTAGTATTTTCTGACTTTAGAAATATGAGGTTCTGTTTGAGATCTGAGTGATTCTCAGGTACTGTTTTTCTAAGGTTTGGCCTGTTAGGTAATAATAATAATAATAAACTTTATTTATATAGCACTCTACAACTCGAGAGCCCAGAGTGCTTCACAGTAAAACAAACATCGCCAAGTAAAACCATACTAAAAAATATTAGACCATACTGAAGCAGTAAAAAACATAAACAGAGTAAAAACACAGGTATACAAAACAGAGTTATAAAAATTCCATACAGAGATGAGGTAACACAAAAACAAATTAAGCAGCGAGGGAGGTGAAAACAGCCTAAACATCAAAAGCCTATTTAAGAAAAAAAGTTTTTACGGCCGACTTGAAAACCGCTAGCTCAGTCTTAGACCGTACCTCCAAGGGAAGAGAATTCCAAAGTCTGGGGCCATATACCGCAAATGACCGGTCGCCCCATTTTTTTTATATCTAGAACGCAGAACAGCTAGGGACGAGTGTTCTATACTGAATTGGAAGCCAGTGCAAGGAGCGAAGAACCGGGGTGATGTGGACATACCTAGGAGAGTTAGATAACAGCCGGGCTGCTGCATTTTGGACTAATTGAAGGTTACGAAGCAAAGCCTGCGAAAAAGTCCAACCGTGAAATAATAAAAGCAGGGATGGCTTTCTCTAAATTGGCGTGTGACAAAAAAGGTTTCGCCTTGGTTGAAAGTCTTAAATGAAAGAATGTTAGATGGTAAAACTGATATACAGCAGAGTGATTTGTCAAAACACGGTTGCTTAAGTTTGTCTAGATCTGAGATAAAACACGTTTTGTTCTATCAGCTGAGTAGAGAACAGAAAGCAGTGATCCTGTTTTAAAAAGCAGTCAGTTTAGCCTTACTTTTTAAAGGCACAACATCAGGGCACTGACTTGAAAAGGGCGTAGTATAAGATATTCGAGCACATAAGACAACTGAGAAACATGTTTTTAATTCAGATATGAAAACTTTTTGTCATTGATCTAAGTGGTATAAATGCAGTTTAGAATAATCAGAGAAGCATCCAACAAATTTCTCTCTACTAATTTGCATGTGGGTTCTCTCCTCGTTCTGCATTTATTTCAGTTTGCAGCTGTTCTTCTTTCACTTTACATAGCTAGGGTCATATGTGTCCTTGTCTCTGACTGTAGCCATCACTGTGTCTGCTGTGCACACAAGCTTATACGCAGACACAAATCCAGTTTACAGCAGATACCTGCTAACCTTTACTTCCTTCAAGTCTGAGGTCCATTAATGCATAAAAAGCAAAATAAACCTACACAAAATATGAATAACTTGGCAAAGACTATTGCCATGTGAATAACTGCTAAGGTCACAATCTAGTGTGAAAATCACAGAACAGCTCAGCAGTATTTTAGAACTCCTGCCTCACAGCCACTTCTGTCCTTCTCAGCCATCCTGTTTGCCGTGTCTGTGTTCGGGCCTGCCATTGGCTACCTGCTGGGCTCAGTCATGTTGCAGATCTATGTGGATGTGGACAGAACCGGTTTAGGTAATGCTTAGGTTTTTTTTTTAAGGCATTCTGAACTTATTTTATAGGCAACTTAAAACAGCATAGCACTTTGACTGTTGTGTCTGGTGACATGTCGTTCGCTGCCATTTCCTGCAGGAGCTGAACAAGAGCTGAGGCACAGCGATCCCCGCTGGGTCGGGGCTTGGTGGATGGGCCTGCTCATCACCGCCGGCTGCCTGGTTCTCACCTCCATCCCCTACTTCTTCTTCCCTCGTGCAATGCCTTCAGAAGGCAATGTAAGTCACACATTCTCTCACATACAGCCATGTTATATCACTAATAATTACATGGACCTCTTGGATTTTGTAAAAGCTATAAAATGTACAATTGTGCAGTGAAAACCTGAATACAGCTTTTATAATTCTGGCCTAAAACTATCATTACCAGCAAGAGTGCTTGTTCTCATGGTGTTATGTTCCCCATTGCTGCTGAAACACTGAAATTTCCCCATTGAGGGATCAATAAAGTACCTACCTACCTACCAGCTCAGCTAAAGAGATGAAAATCTTCAGGTTTACATCAGAAAAGAAACAAGGGGTTGGGCACATTCCTCCTTAACAGTATAAAAGTATATGATGCAAATGATGGTGTGTTTGTGAATTACATAAAACAGGCAGTAACCGCCTTGTCGATAAACATTTGTATATTAGGTTAAAAGTGCTGAATAAATGTATAAATATCATATTTATATTCATTTTAGTCCTTTGTGACACCTAATGTATATCAGCAGTTTCCAGCCTGGGGTATATGGCACACTGACCGATGGTTAGTGTGCTAGTAGTTAGCTAACTAACTGAAATGTAAAACTAATCATTAAACAGTTGACATAATTAGCTCAAATGAGTTGATAAACAGGTGAAATAGCTGACAGGGTGATGTCAGTGAAAGGGAAGATATTAAAATGTTTTTTTCCTTTAAAACACATATTTAAACATACATTTAGAGCAAGCATGTGTATTTCAGCATGAAAAACATAAAAGTCTCCTGAGAGAGAAAAATTCTACAGAAATCTTCCATTATAGTATCTGACTGCTTCTCATGTATTTGAATGCAACACTGTGCATAGACCTGTCAGTTCAGTCTAATGTTCCCATGTTCCATGGGTGCATCATAAAGAAACGGGGCTTCTTAGGGCAGTGTGTCATGGTGGGGGTGGGACCTTTACACTTTAAACTGATGTGATTTGACAGTGCATCATAAAAGCCCCAAGTTCATTACATGTCCAGTAAATGGGCAACGCTATAACTCAAGGTGTCTTGTTATTTTAGTAAAATGAAATCTGTAATTATGCAGGAACACGTGCTCCATATAACGATTTACACTGCAAATCATTTTCCAGGTGATGAGAAGTGACAGTGACATGAAAGATGACTTCAGAAAGACAGAGGTCTCTTTACTTGATTTCCTGAAGAGTAAGTATATTCAGACTGCCGAGGTTCCACCTGTTAGTTTTATATAAAGTATTATCAAAGATTTTTATTGTCAATTCACTATATGTGCAGGACATTGAAAATCGAAATGCCGTTTCTCTATTTATTTATCTGTTACAGAAAGTGGCTAGCACTCTCTGTAACAGATAAATGAACAGAGGGACCTTTTGCTGAAGTCATTTCCAGTGCTAATCACCGTTTCTGGATGTGAATGTGGTGGAATTCAAAAACTATTTAATGAAAGGGAAGGGGGATACAATTTAAGGGGTCAGTTAAATTTAAAAATTCATGCTATACGTACAACCAAAAAAAGATTTAGTATTTCTATAAGTGGGGTAAAACTATGGAATAATTTAAGTGTGGACATAAAAAATAGTAATAGAATTGATGAGTTTAAACATAAATATAAAGGTATGTGTCAATCAAGATATATGCAAGAACAGGCTTAATGATTAACCAGATGGAACATTGTGGGTGTGGTGTATGAATGTTAACACCTTGTAATAATTCTTTAGTACTGTATATTACTTGTGTGGTGTAAAAGATAATTATCTATGTAGTAATACTGCTTGCAAACCAATGATGGTAAGATGATGTCATGGGGTAGGACTGGATAAGTCTGACTTCTTCCTACTCCATTCAAGCATGTACTAAGTATAAGCAAATTGATATTGGATTAGCATTTGTTGGATAAAATTATGTGTGTTGACATATCAACTGTCTTTACATGCTTGAAAGAATAAATAAATAAATAAATAAATGTGTCTAATCAGTGTTTCCCAGAATTTTTGTCCACCTCCTGTTGAGCCCTGTCTTCCTGATGCTGGTCCTGGCCCAGTGCTGCTTCTCCTCTGTGATTGCGGGCCTCTCTACATTCCTGAACAAGTTTCTGGAGCGACAGTACAGCGCCTCGGCCGCCTACAGCAGCCTGCTAGTGGGTAGGTACTGTAGGAGCGGAGCAACAGATCCTATAACAGATCACATTTTGGGTTCTTGTCAGCTGTTAAATAATTCAAGCCATAATGTAAAGCATGGACTATATTAACCATTTTAATGAACTCTCTAGAGATGAAATGAAACGCTCTGTTAATATCATTTAATGGATGCACTAGAACGTGAGCATCCATTGTTCTATGGCCACTTTCCAGAGAGTGAATTAGGTTTGTACTGCCATCTTCTCTTACATGAAGATGTTACTTGGGTTTGTGACCATGTAAAGTTTGCCCTTTCTCAACATTGAATTTCCTTTCATACCATACCTGTCTTTTGTGTGAGGGCATCAGCAAACAACTGAAGTGAAATGATACATGATGCTTAAGAAACCCCTTGGTAGATAGTAAATGTCATCTTTACTTGGAGATAAATAAGCTGTTTATGGTTCCCAGGGGCTGTGAATCTGCCAGCCGTAGCCGTGGGGATGCTTATTGGCGGTGTCATTATGAAGAGAGTAAATCTGTCTCTGAAGACCATCCCACGTTTCTGTGTCGTCATGCTGACCACATCCACCCTCCTCTGTATCCCTCTGTTCTTCATGGGCTGTCCCACCCAGAAAGTCTCAGAGGTTAATAATTACCAGGTTGGACAGTATGGGTGAGTGTGCATGGCACTATAACTCAGACGAGCAGTCTGATTTCATTTTCTGTTTCAGTGTATGCAGAGTCACACAAACCCAGCCTAACATACTGTATGACATTTTTACTCAAATGCAGTGAAATCAGTTAGCAGCCTTTCTCAAAAGGAAATCATTAGATTTGCCCCATTGCTGAGGAGTAATACTTTAGCAGTACAGTAGTTTTTCTCCACCAAACTGCCAGGACTCACTTTATGTTATAATTTAAAATGTACAGTGACTCCAGAAAGTATTCAGACCCTTTCACCTCATGCACATGGTGTTGTAGATGTAGTTATAAATTGATAACATTTCCTTTTGGCTCATCAGTCTACAACGGTAACCTGTAATGAAAAGCAGAAATATGGTTTTAGAAATGTTTGCAAAAGTATTAAAAACTGAAATGTCTAATTTATAAAAGTATTTAGACCCTTTGCTGTGACACTCCACATTGTGTTCAGGTGCATCCTGTTTGCCTTCATTTGCTTTAAGATACTTCTGGAACTTGATTGGAGTCCACCTGTAGTCAAGTGACTCATTAAACCTGATACATCCAAGAACAGGTTTAATGATTAATTAGATGGAACATTGTGGGTGTGGGGTAAGAGTGTTAGCACTCTGTAATAATTCTTTGGTATATTACTTGTGTGGTGTAGAAGATAATTATTTATCTAGAGATACTGCTTAGGACTTAAAAGTTGTAAGATGATGTCATGGGGTAGGACTGGATAAGTCTGACTTCTTCCTACTCCATTCAAGCATGTACTAGGTATAAGTAAATTGATATTGGATTATTATTGTTGGATGTGTGTGAAAGTACATGTGTTGACATATCAACTGTTTTACATGCTTGAATGAATAAATCAAATCAAATCAACTGACTGGAACGGCACACACACCTGCAATGACACTGCATGTCAGGACAAAAACCAAGCCATAAAGTCCAGTAAACTCTGAGTGTTCCCAGGAGCAATAACTGTGAAATGGAAGAACCTCCAGGACTCTTCATAGCATCAGCCAGCCCATCTGTCAAACTGAGTAACAGGGACGAAGGGCCTTGGTCAGGGGGGTGAATAAGAAGCCAGGGGTCACTCCAGCAGAGCTTCAGAAGTCCTCTGCAGAGATGGAGACCCTGCTGGAATGACAGCCATCTCAGCAGCTCTGCATCTATCAGGCAGTTTTATTAGAGGGGTCAGACAGAAGATACTTTGAGTAAAAGACATATGACAGCCTGGGTGGAGTTTCCCAAATAGCATTTAAATGACTGAGAACATGAGGGAAAAGATTCTCTGGTTTAATGAGACAAAAACTGAACGCTTTGCATAGAACTCCAAGCACAATGTCTGGTGAACACCAGGCACTGGTCATCACCTGCCTACTACCATCCCTGCAGTGAAGCATGGTGGGGACAGCTTCGTGTTTTTTGATAGGGTCTTCTCAGCAGCAGGGACAGGGAGACTGGTCAGAACTAAGAGAAGGATGATTGCAGTCAATTACAGAGAGGTACTTGAAGAAAACCTGCTCTGGAGTGCAATGACCTCAGATAGTGTGGCAGTTCTTCTTTCAGCACAACAGTGACCTGAAGCCTCCAGTCCAGACAACACTGGAATGGCTTCAGGACCAGTCTCTGACTGCACTGGCATGGCTTTCAGGCCCGGCTCTGAATCCCCTTGAGTAGCCTAGCCAAAGTCCTAGCTCTGTGGGGAGGCCTGAAAGTGGAAGTACACAGACATTTCCCATCCAATCTGACATACAATAGCTTGAGAGGATCTGCCAGACTGTGCGAAATGTCAAGGTGTCTGGATATTTTCTGAATCCACTGTATGTGTATACAAGTTCAATTATATCTAAAATTGATTAAAAGTTATAGTATTTGAACCTCTGAATTTATCATAACATGTCAGGCAAAAGGCTATGGTTTGGCTCTGCTCTAGTTGCAAACACATTAGTTCTGAACTTCAGTGTGACTTTTGGTCTGCTCGCCATAGATCTCTGTCCAAGTGTTACTCCAACTGCTCCTGTCCTGCTGGTGCCTTCAACCCCGTGTGTGGTTCTGATGGTGTCGAGTACATTTCTCCTTGCCATGCAGGCTGCACCAACTTCACTAAAGACCCCAACAACACCCACCGGGTGCAGGTCAGTGCCTCCTTTACACACTTGTTTATGGTTTCCTCTGACAGTACAAGACCTGTGGGGTCATAAGAATTCAGGATTCACTGTCCTTTGACTGTATGTACTGTATGTAATAAAACTGGAATTTTTTTTGTGGGTGGGGGAATGTGTGCAGCTCTACAATAAATCATCAGCAGTAATCACAGAAATAACCTGATGCTGTAAGACTGGAATGCTAGATCATTTGATTCAAAAGAAAAACTGAATAAACATGATCTAAGAAAAGCGAATGTAGTTTTACAGTATTGTTGTATAATTTTCTTTGATAATCTTCTATAATTTTCTCAGCATGGAATGAAACTGTACACATTTGGTTTCTGACCTATTTAAGATCTGTAAATTAGTCTGTAAGGTGGTGTACCAAAGTCTAGGGAGAGTACTACCAGGAATGCATACTGCAAATAAAATGCCATTAACATGCATTGAGTCTGCATTGAAATCGGCTCTTCAGGAGGCTGACTTCTCACTTAAACATTTCTTTTTCTAGTTTCAAATAGATGTGGGGATCAGGAAGTGACTTTTTTCAACCTCTTTAGATTTAACACATAAATGAGATCACTCTGTAGCCTATCCTTCACACAGAATGGGCCCTGAAATGATCACAAATTTTATATTATAGACCTACAGTACATAATGTGTCTCATCAGCCAGGGCTTCCAATAGGAGCAGACAGAGAGACAGCTGCTCCTTTTAATAGGACACAAGTGGATCACAATCGATGTCTAATCAATGCCTATTAGTCACAGAGCATATAGGAGGTGTTTTAAAAGGGATAAAACATCAGTATTTAATGGTCACAGCTTGTGAATAATCTTCCAGTGGGTGGATTGTGTGACTGATTAGTCAGGTTGAGTGAGCAAGTAAACCTGCCTGTGTAATGCTAAAGCACAAACACAGGCAGTGACGGCTACAGGTACAGTAGCTTAATGGATCGCTCCCCAGAAATGTGTGTGTGTGTGTGTGTGTGTGTGGCTAAGCTTAATGGCTATTGTCTGTAGCTTCATCTTTAGCACACAGACACAAGAGAGGTATTAATCTATTCATCTTATTGTCCACAAGAACATGAATACGTGCATTTCTTTAAAGTTAAGCAGTAAGAAATAGTAAACGGTTGTTTACAACATTAATATTTCTTTTGCTTTTTTCCCTGTATATAGTTATATACCAACTGCAGGTGTATATCTGGGAGCCAGAATCACGCCCACCCAGCTCCATGTCCAAACAGCTGCCAGCATTTTCTTCTTCCTGTCATACTCGTCATCTCTCTGGTGTCACTGATCGCCTGCCTGACTCACAACCCCATGTACATGATGGTGCTCAGGTAAGGAAGGATGGCAATATGTTGTAGTAAGTACAGTATATATATAGATAGATAGATAGATATGTGCAAAATCAGAATAAAACTACAAATATCCACTGGATGGTATGATACAATCTGCTTGACCAGCTGCTAATGATTTTGATGAGCTTTATGTTCAAATCTTGTTCCCAACAAACATTGTATTAGGCGACATTGACTTATCTTCCAGATTTTGCAAAACTTTGTTAAATAGATCCAAATCTGACCACAAAACTGCTGTATCCAGTAATATTTTACTCCCTCTTTCCCAGCCTGTGTGGACCTCTGCCGTGTTTATACTCGCATTCTTAAAAAGAGGCTGTTTCCTTCCAGTAGCTGCTGCAGTCAAACGCTGAGCTGCTGTTGTTTTTAGACTGCCAGGCACTCCTTAAAGCCTATAAAAAGTCAGACACAAAAGCTAATAAATGAGTGCACGAGGCCTGTAATGTGGGAGGGCCAAGAAGGAACAGAAAGCAAATGAACTACCACTTCAAAGTTGGTTCCAAGGTTTAATAAGAAATGACTTTGGCAGGGTTTACAAAGATGATCAAACAGATTTGTTCAGTGATCCTGAACAAATTAAGTGAAATAAGTGTACTGATTCATCAGTGCAGCAGTTGTCCAGTATTGGATTGTTTACAGTACACCAGTACACATGCAGCTATTGACCTTTTTAATTTCTTTTTTGATTCATTTCAGATCTGTTTCTTCTGAAGACAAGTCATTTGCTATAGGAATCCAGTTTTTACTCATGAGACTATTAGGTAAGTCGGGACACAAATGCACTCTGTGTGTGTTGCTAGGATCAAATGGAAAAAGTGAGTTATTGTGTTAATCATTACAGTATATTTAACACACCTTTTGTTAAAGTGCCCTGTGCTGCCCTTAAATCTCAAATTGTCCTCCTAGTTCAGGTATTATTTTAAAATGAAAGTGCAAAATTACAGTTCACACTTGTATGGATCCCTAAAAAGCACATTATGAAATAAATAATTGCATGATTAAACTATGTATGATTTATAAAGGAATCAATACATTTTGTAATAAATTAAGAAGTTATTAAAATATTAAACATTAAAATTACAATATTATTAAATCATTATAAATGATATTTATGCTTTTATTTTATGTTTGTTTCATTGTGGAATATAAAAAATTATTAAAAGGGACTTAAAAAAAAGGAGACTTTAAAACAAAAATGTATGTAATGAAATAAAAATAATCAGTTTAGTTTTGCTCATTCTTTCACAAATGATTGGTTAATTTATATATTTGCCTATTTATCTTAATTATTTAATACTGCACACTTTGGGGCTCCAATCGGTTGAGTTTTATGTTTCCTGCCAGCTGTAGGAGTGTTATGAAACGTAACTTTGCATAGCATTCACCAGAAGCTTGGGCAAAACCCAGATCATTTCCCTCATTGGAACTTGTACTGGATTGCCCTCTAGTGGCCGTAGCTCAGCCACAGTGGGATAGGATGTGTGTGTTTACCCTGAACTGTTTCTTCCTCCTCCTCAGCCTGGCTGCCAGCTCCTGCTCTCTTCGGGATGGCCATTGATTCATCATGTTTCTGGTGGAGACGTGTGTGCGGAAAGAAGTTTAGCTGCGGTTACTACAACAACGACATTTTGAGGAGCCGGTTAGAAAGCCTACCACACACACACATCACACCCAGTATGCATGCAGCCATATTGATACTGACAATCCTTTATCTTTATTTGTTTGACCCCTGCAGATACTTGGGCTTACAGGTGGGTTATAAGGTCATGGGCATCCTTCTGCTGATGTTGCTGGGGTGGAAGATGCAGCGGACCCAGGAGTACAGCCTGGAGAAGAGGCCTGAGGGGTTGCTGTGACCCTGCTCAGAATTCCTCTTGATCCCGTCCTCTCTCCTTGTTAAAGCTTTGCTGTGGTGTGAAACATTTGGAAGAACAGTGTGCTGAGCAAAGCTGCATCCATGGGAGAAAGCCACAGTTGAGATGAGTGTACACCAACCTCACGTCATCTTAGACCCACCGGGTGCTTCACTGGCTGGGTTAGGATGCACATTTTCCAACTAGGAAATTTTCTGATGTTTTTGAATGCTTTTAAACTTATTACCCTGACATTATGAGCCACTCATTACAAATTAAGAGAGGACTGCCTCTTTTGTGGTACCTCACAACATTTTTTAATGCATCTGAGACATGAATGAGAATCTGCCTGAGACTCATGCAACAGATCATTACTTTAACTGTATATATTACCTGTTCCTATAAGGTAGGAGTCTGTTCAGGTTTCTATTTGCAATGGGAACATACTCTGTAACTGATTAACTGTATAGCTTAATATTTAAGTTTATTTTTTATAGATGTTTGTCTCATCCATGGAGACATCTGTGATAACTGCAATACTCATTCATATATGATCACATATCACACTTGATTTATTTGTAATAGTAATTAATTTTCAGATAACATGTACGCTCTTATTCATAAATTGAATTAACCATGCACCTTATGCTGTCTATTGGTGTGGTTATATGATTGTTATTACAGTGTCGTGCATAAAATTGAGATAATAAAAATACATAAATAATCAAGTCAGTCTTTTTTTTTAGTTTTTTCAGAGTTTTGTTTTATTTATATCTACAGTGATAGTAGGTGATTGGGTGGTAGTATACGTTCATGGTTTAAGTTTAATAATACTGTATACTTAAGTAATTATAACATGAAATAAATGTACACGTATTATTAAGAGAGTTCACAGCACAAACTGTGTCCTGGTATCCCTCCACTCCACTCCTCTGTCCAGATAAATGGGAGATAAGGTTAATAACAGCTGAAAACTTCATATAAATGTGCATTATATTTAGTTTTTCAATAAGAAGAGTTCACAGTGCAGCTGTTTCTTTTCATCTCCATCTAATCTCAGCTCTTCTCTTTAAAAGACAGATTCAGAGGGAATAACACACAGTCATTTCAGCACTGAGGTCAACAAAAGAACTGCTAAATGTGTACTTATCTTTCTAAACATGACACCCTCTTCCCTCCTCCTCTGCCTAAATGTTGAATGACAAAAAGGGTTAGATAAAGGCTGACAAACAGCTTCAGCAACCACAAGAGCATCTGATTACTTTTAGAAATTCTGATAATGATATAGAATAAATGTTTATTTATCTTTGTAAAGAGGAGGACAAAGCTCCTCTGCTCTCAACTCCTCTGGTCTTGAATCATCCTCATGTCATTTCCTCTCCTCTTTCTAAATGACAGGTGACGAATGAGAAGGAATAAGAGGTCATCATTTTCACACACAGAAGAGCTGTTCTAATAGCAATGAAATAAATGTGCACTTGTTAATGAGATGCTTCTCAGTGCAGCTGCCCGGTGTCCTCTCCTCCCTGTAAAACATGGTTAATAACTCCGTCAGCTGAAGAAGAAACACTGGTCACTATGGGAATTTTGATCATCAGAACAAATACATATTTATCTTTTTGAATGAGATGGTTCTCAGTGCAGCTATCTCTTGGCTGTTTGCTCTCGTTCTGAACGTGTTTCTTCTTCTCTCTAAAAGACAGATGACATACTGACAGGGACAACCGGTAATAACCAACTTCTGATAACAAAGTGTGTATTTACCTTTTTCGATGAGTTCATGGTGTCTCCTCTCATCTCCTTGTCTCTTCTCTCTCAAAGCCAAACAGCTGATGAGAGAGGAAACAGTTAATGCTTTCAGCTGCTGCTTACATTTTCTACACAATGAACACAATATATTGAACTTGAGATTGTCTGTAAAAGACTATGCACTGAAATCACTGACTTGTGTAGCCCAGTCAGGATGAACAAACTACATACAAATGTACAATATTTACCCCTCAGTCAACCATAATTTTCATATGGTGCAGCATGTCGGCCTAGGTGCCAGGTGCTACCAGGGGCCTCGCTAGTCCAGCCGGACGCCCAGGCTAGTTCTGAGAAGTAATAGTAATCTATGTGTTCACCGGCCAGATGCATATGATGCATATGATAAGTCATATGTACAAGGCATCCCTTCAGCCTTCAAGTCCAAGGATGTCAGTGTTATTACTATTAAGGTGAAAGAAAGATTTTGAGTGTGCCATCAAAACATCTCCATAATATTAACTATAGCCTACCTGATAGATAATCAGCAAGTGTTAACATAAAAACCTAGGAAATATCATTGTTCTGATGTTGTTTAATCACCCAAGATAAACCTATTTTTCATAACAGTTTATCTGGTGCAGGTCCATGATGTCTTGATTTTAGACAAGAAAGGCTGAATGATGTTCATTTCACACCAAGCTGTAATATAATTTGTGCAAATGTAGAAATATTCACTCCTGCCTAAAAACATGGCTGGTTCTGTATGACTTTTATTTCCTCTTACAGTGTTATCAGTAGCTAAACCTATGTTAAATTTTAGAAGCTTTGGTTTTAATACAGTTTTTCTCGAATGTAGTGAAACTGATGTTGAAAACCAAAGATTATTCTTCATTGGACACTACCAGGGGCCTGGACATTTGAGGGTCCTGCGCAGTAGCTTAGCTGTACTTAGCACAACACTCTTCTGGACAGAGAGCTCTGATGTTGCTCCTGGGATCTGTTGGAGCCACTCTTCCAGTTTGGGAGTCATATCTCCGAGCGCTCCTACCACCACTGGGACCACTGTGGCCCACTTTCCACATCCTCTCCAGTTCTTTCAGTCCATGGTACTTCTCCAGCTTCTCATATTCCTTCATATATGTGTGTGTACATACACACACATACATAC